AACACAGTCCTTTCAGCAGTTCCACGGAGGCTCCACATCCATTTGCATCACTCAGGTGACCCTGAGGACACAGTGGCCTCAACAACTCTCTAAAAGAAAGCAAATGACCAGCTTTCTGCAAGGAATATAAATCCTTCCATCCTCCACTATCCAGTCGGAGCTGAAGAAGCTTCTTGGATAAGAAGCGAAAGGTCTTCAAAGGAAAAACAAGAAAGTCCAGTTGCCTCATGAAAAAGCATATTTGGGGTACCACTCACTGGGGATGTGGTGGTTCCACATCTGGCCTCTTCTAACATCACTGAGGAATTTTTATCAGAGTGGGAGGCTGGATGAGGTAAACACCCGTCTCCTCCTTCTCTTTAAACAGCCAAAATGGCTGCTCTTCAGCAAACATGCAATTTCCCCCTGCTTAATTTATCACCGCTTTTGCTTCCTCAAGGAGCATGCCAAGAGCTCTGAAATGGTATTTTTCATGGCAGGCATGGGGATTGAAAAGAAGCTCAGAGAACAAATTAGGTTTTTTCTGCCTGGTGCCTCAAGGTGGCTACCCGCTGGGCCCAAAATGGGATTTTGAGCTAAGCAACTGGCAATGCCCAAGCCTTCCTTTTCAGAACACTTGACGCCATTTCCAATTCCACCTCTGTGATGGTTTCTGTAAACATCAGCTCCTCATATAGGACTCCGAAGGTCAATTAGACCAAGAAGGAAACTCATTGCATATTAAAATCAATATTAATCATACCGTACTTAAGAGCCCGGTGTTTGTTAACATTTTGGAGTTGGAAATGAATTGCGCCTGTCAAACTGGCAAATGGTTTCGACGTGCTTATTTTTTAACCAAACCAGACTCCCGTGTGTGAATGTCCTTTTGGCGTCCTGGACTCTTGTGCTTTTTTGTGTGTTTTCTTCCTCTTTGCGTTGGCAACTCAGCTCTAGAATCTGCCTCCAGGGAAAAGCTCTTGGGATCGTAGCCAAGACGGGCTTCGGCACAAGCTGCAGACTTCCCGTATTTATTATAGCCCTCTTTTACTTTCTCAACGCCTAAGTAATTGTAAGTTATTAGGGAGAAGGCTTGGCAGTGTCTGCTTCTTTTGGAAAGCAATCAGGCTAAATTTTGAGAGAGTCAGCGCTTGATCCCTGCGGACAAAGCCCCTCCCTTTTTGGTTTTAATTAATTTGTAGGCCTTTCTCCCTTCTGAGGGCGATGTGGGAAAAGAGCGTCTGCAACAAAGCAATAGAAAACAGAACAAGGTGCAAGAGAGTTCCAGCGTTTTGTGGTGGAACTAGGAAGACAATAATCACGGCGAGGCTTCGGAAAGCAGTTCGACCTTTGTGCTTAGTTTAACTGGGTATTTGAAACCCAGTCTCTGGTTGTCATTTCTGGAAGTTATACATCTCCCTGGTCTTTCACTGCTCAGAAAACCAAACTCAGGGCTGCTATGCTGAGGACTAAATTTAATACATGGTGATGGGATGGAAGTTTGGGTGTTCTAAGTTTTGCTTGCTAATTTAACCAACTGGGAGTCAACCACGTTGACCTCCATCATCTCTGAGCCAGGTGGAACCAAAGTCGCTGATTCTTCCTCACTCAGCAATTTCAGCAAGGGCTCCTGTGGTGGATGGGATGGAGAAAAGAGGGTTTTTTTCCGGCTTTGTTTCAAGCTTTTTCTTTCAACTTTATTTAAGCTGAGGTCAGAGAAGATAAGGGGCGAGGGAAAAACAAGGTGTCTCGATCGTTGATGGACTGGGTCACCCTCCAGTTTTCCTCTGTTTTCTGTACAGTTGGCAGACAACACAAAAGTGCCGTGCCAACAGTTTGGGGAAAAAAAATACTAGCACAGCAAGAAAGATAGATATCTAGGCAGATTGCTTGTTCTGGCTTCTTTTGCTAGCAAGATCTGTAACAGCAGAAGTCATGTGCTCATGCAGTGATGTTTATATGTTTATACTTTGATAGTATCTATCTGCCTGTCTGTCTGTCTGTCTGTCTGTCTGTCTATCTATCCATCCATCCATCCATCTATTCATCTGGGTCGGTCACTGGGACTAGAACAGAACAGAATAGAATAGAATCTGGAAGGGACCTTGGAGGTCTTTCAGTCCAGCCCCCTGCTCAAGCAGGAGAACCTATTCCATCTCAGACAAGTGACTGTCCAGTCTCTTCTTAAAAACCTCCAGTGATGGAGCACCCACGATTTCTGGACTTCAGATGTTTTTTTCTTCCAAGTTTTTGTACTCCTGCTGGAACCTATCCTTGGGGAACTTGTGCTCTCTCCAGGATGTGTCCAGAATTTCTTCCAAGTCTCCTGAAAGCCATTTGAGAGCAGCTCTCTCTTCATCCCCTTGAATCCCAGGGAGATATATGTTACAAGCCAATCAAGCTTTTATTGCACTTGATTTTGAGTCGTCCCGTTTTTTTTTTTTTTTTAATAAAATAAAATACGATGGCCAAGCAAGCACATGTAGAAGTGCCAGGTGCTTTCAATCTGCCATTTTCACCTCCCCATCTCCAGTGGCAAGATGTATGATTCAGCAAGCAAATGAGTTTCTGGCAGCTGGCGGAGAAATTGCCAGTTGCAATCTGCATAATTGCCTAAGTCCTGAGCAGAAAATTACTTTGTTCAGCTGTCCATGGGAACAGGCTGCATGCTTCGCTCATGGTTTCACACCAGTGCTTCCAAGAGTGTAGCCCTCTCCCCATATTTCCAGAACCACTTCAGAACCATGGACAGTTCTTGGCGTTTCAGGATTTATAGAACACCGAATAACAGAATGGGCGGTCTTCTAGTCCAACTCCCTGCTCAAGCAACAGACCCCAGACCATTTCAGTCAATCAATCAGAATAGAGCTGGAAGGGACCTTGGAGGTCTTCTAGTCCAACCCTCTGTTTGAGCAGGAGACCCCATTCCATTCCAGATAGGGGGTTGTCCAGTCTCTTCTTAAAAATCTCCAGTGATGAAGCACCCACAACTTCTGAAGGCAAGTCGTTCCACTAGTTAACTATTCTTACTGTTAGGATATTTTGCCTTATTTCTACATTCATTTTAGATTGGTTTGTACAATGGATCCTGAGATCCCTTCCCAGCATTTGAGATCACTGTCTAGGAAGACCATTCTAAATGGTACCTTTTCCTTTAAGCAAGATGGAGGGGGAAAAAAAACACTCCTTTCAAAATTGGGCTTTGAGCAGGGCCAAATGTCTTATTTCCCTCCTTCGCAATGAAATCCCATCACCGGCAAGGAAGTTTTCTACTTTCCACCCTCCGCTGAGCGAGGCTTCTCACCCCACCATTTATTTTTTAATACCCTCCAATCTTGGAACAAACGATAATTGTCAAGACTTCTGACTTCTTGCCTGCTTAGATGGCATTTATCCTCACCACCTCATTTCAAAGCCCCAAATGAGTTTTCTGAAAGCCCATTTAGTTGTGTTTGCATTTCCCCCACTGTGTTCCGAAACGAGCTTTCTGTGTAATAAAGCTTTTCGAGGCCTCCTAATAGAAAAAAACCTTGTGTTTGTTTCTTCTTCCTGTTACTCTTCCCCACAAGGCCCTGTTCAGTCCAGGCGCTTTGTGCTGCCGTTTCTTTCCGCCGGCTGCCGGGGCCTCGGCGGAGATGTTCAGCCAAGCGGACGGCGCGCTCCGACTTTTGTATGTTAATTGAGACACTTTTTAATTTGGCTTTTGCATATTCTTTGAATTTGTATCATTGTAAATTAATTTCTAAAGAGGGCCTGCTAAACAATTAACGCTCGCCCGGCTGATCTCGCCGGCGAGGAAACAACCGTCAGAAGAAATGCTGACGGAATCCAAATTTCGTCAACAGATGCTACAACTGAAACACAATCCCGGCCATAAAAACTCAAGGGGCAGGTGACCTAAGTAGGAATCCCTAATTCCAGATGACATTAAGGGGAGCTGGGGGAACAATAACACCTCTCAAAGGAATACATTTATAAAAGAGGAGATAAAAACACAACCTCTGGAGATGTTTCCCACTCAGATGCATTTGCAAGAAGCTGTTTATCTCAATACTCCAAACCAGCTCCAGACAAAGGAGGCAAAGTCTAAGCTCACTTGCAATTCCTATTGTACCGTGAGGTTCACAATGGGGATAGGGCCTGTGTGGAACCCTCAGTCAACTTCCTTGGAGAGCCAGTGATCTGTTTGTTTCATGGAAAGAAGGACCAGGGCTGATGTGACAGCAGCCTTCCAATATCTGAGGGGCTGCAACAAAAAAGAGGGGGTCAACTTATTTTCCAAAGCACTTCCTGAAGGCAAGACAAGAAGCAATGGATGGAAACTTATCAAGAACAGAACCAACCTAGAACTAAGGAATAGAGTAGAGTAGAGTAGAGTAGAGTAGAGTAGAGTAGAATAGAGTAGAATAGAATAAAGAATTATTAGAATAGAATAGAATAGAATAGAATAGAATAGAATAGAATAGAATAGAATAGAATACAGTAGAATAGAATAGAATAGAATAGAATAGAATAGAATAGAATAGAATAGAATAGAATAGAATAGAATAGAATGGAGTGGAGTGGAGTGGAGTGGAGTGGAGTGGAGTGGAGTGGAGTGGAGTGGAGTGGAGTGGAGTGGAGTGGAATGGAATGGAATAGAGTAGAGTAGAGTAGAGTAGAGTAGAGTAGAGTAGAGTAGAATAGAATAGAATAGAATGGAATAGAGTAGAGTAGAGTAGAGTAGAGTAGAATAGAATCTGGAAGGGACCTCGGAGGTCTTCTAGTCCAACCCCTTGCTCAAGCAGGAGCTCCTATACCATTTCAGACTCCTTAGTCCTTGAAAACTCACCAGCCCACCTGCTCCTTTCAGGTAAATGGCACATGAATATGTAGATGGAGCTGAGATACATCTCCTCAGCTCTTCTAATATTTTCTTCCTTAATTGCACAATGGACCCTGTTCTTTGGGAGCAGGCTAACATTTCATGGCCTAATCACCCGTCCTTCTATTAATTTAAGTGATGCATTTTCTATGCCCAGTGATGAATAAACCGGATCAATGCCAGCAACATGCTTTATTGGACCTCCTGCGAGATGAATTTGTCGAGAGACGGCCTGTGAGATGGAGTCAACATGCAGATGAGATTGGTAAGTGAGAGCTATATCGATTATCCCCAGCCTGGATGAGGCAGTAATTCCAGCCAATGCCTCAGCTGTCTTTCAATTTGGTTCATTGCTTATGCCATAAAAAAAAAAAAAAGACTGGCTCAGGAACAGATCTCATTTCTTATCACAAGGGCAAGTCTTGAGATTTGACACCTTGCTAAGAGGGGTGCTGGATGAACTGGGATCTTTATTCAAGGGCACCTGACTGAAGCTGTTCCTTAGCAATGCTTTCATCTGGATTTCTGCATTGGAAATTGGCTTCAATGGCCAATTAGAGTTGAATGGAACTGTGTAGAGTGAAGGCAAATATATGTGTCCCAGGATAATCCTGCAGGATCCAATCTGGGTTGGTCACCGGGACCATTTACGTTTGTTTGTGCTGGCCAGCTCTCACTTTCCAAGTATTTGGTATGCTGGTGTTAATCAGCACTCCTGTTGACTTCCATGGCTGTTTTTGTGCCTGCTCATCCAACAATCTTAGTTGAACATGTGTCCTTGTTCGTTGCAGTATGAGGCTATCGGTGAGTTTGGGTCTCCTCGTCTGAGTGCTCACTTGTGTTCTTGCAATCTGGCGGTTAGCTTCCTCCCCATCTGTCCTACATAGTCACAGGGACAATCCATGCAGGGAATCTGGTAGATTCCATTGGAAGTATCTCCCACCTCCAAGCAACCTTTACAATGCATAATTTGTCCTCGCCTGGTAGCCTCTGGGCGGCGTGCAATGTCCATTGGAAATCACAGAAGCTGCATTATACAGCTTCCGAAATGTTTTTGATGTATGGCAGGGTGTTCCATGTGGTTGATCTTGTTTCTTCTTTCTTCACTGGTCCCGTTGACCAACACAGATTGGATCCTACAGGAACTATATAGATGTGATGAACTAGAAGACTAGGAGAACAGGAATGTTGGATAAGAGTTTGTTCTTTCTTTCTTTCTTTCTTTCTTTCTTTCTTTCTTTCTTTCTTTCTTTCTTTCTTTCTTTCTTTCTTCCTTGAGTTCTTTCTTTCTTTCTTTCTTTCTTTCTTTCATTCTTTCATTCATTTGTTCTTTCTTTCTTTTTCTTTCTTTCTTACTTACTTTCTTGAGTTCTTTCTTTCTTCCCCATAATTTTTTACAAGCAATATTAGAAGGTTGATAGTTCCCTGGAGATCCCTCAAGAAGGGGGTGATTTTCTGCCCTTATGAAGGGGGATGGGGACCAATTATTTTTTAGCCCCATAATAAATGCTTATGGTTGTGGGGGACAGAGTTTGGTTGCCACCATTTTATGAAATAATGGAAGACGTTGCGGTCACTGTGTGCTGCATTCTGTGTCCAGCTTGCCTTCTGAGCCTGAAGCCAGAGGAATAAAACTTCTCCATTTAATAAGGCTTAAGGACATCTTTCTAACTGAATCATTGCTTTTCATTCTGAAAATTGGTTTGTAACCGTACTGTCTACTCCAGCTTCCTTGCTGAGGAATGGTCTCGAGTGAAAAAAGAGAGAAGAGGTTGAACAGGGGACTTGTTATATAGGTCATTAATTCTCACAGCCACTCATTAGAAGCCAAGAAGGTGGACCAGACCATTAATGTTTAAAAAGAGACTCAGTTGTTTGAGATTGTCACAAATGCACAAAAGGGACCAACAAGGACAGCCGAAACTGGCAAACAAACTGGAGGTAGTATTTTGCGGCATTCTACCTTGGCAGTGATTTTAATAGAAAAACCAACAGCCAAGATGGATGGACAGATAGCAGATTTCAAAGGAATAATTACACTTTTAAAAGGCAAGTCGGTGAAATTAAAGGCGGTGGCGGGGGTCAAAGAGGGCAAGATGTCTGCCTCGCCATCACAATCCGAGCCGCATCCCTTTCTGCATGCATGTGATGTAGACACACTTAACCAAAGGGCATCACAACATCATATCTAGTGTTGATTTGTTTTTGTCCTCCTTGTGTGATGACCTTGATCCTGTGTGTCACCAATGTCTCTGCATTTGGTACCACAGATCATTTTTAGAGATAGCTTTCCAAGGTTAGGAAATTTTACATTTGCGGAGAACTATAAATCATGAAAGAAAGTCTTGTTTTCTGTTTTCATTAATATTCATTTCTTAGAATACATACATACATACATACATACATACATACATACATACATACATACATATATATGCATTTAATGCATGCTTTTAAATATGCCCATCTCCAAATTATAGGCTGTTCTTCAAACAATTCTTCTTCTAATAAACCCTTTTCACTTTCCCATGTGTGTTTTTGGCATGTTAGTCAAGTTTGAAACCACTTTGTCAATCAAGATGGTTCCAAAATGGGTTTCATTTATGGTTCTAGGAAAAAAAAGACAGTGGAAGGGGAGGGGCTATTTTTTAAAAAAATCAAACTATGTTGCCAGGTTTAATTAAACCTTGGTTAAAACCTCTCTCTTTGTTTTGCTATCTGGTTTAAGAAAAGGAAAGAGAGCCCTTGAGCTTGCAAGGTGATTGGTGAATTCACGAGAAGGATGCTTGAAAGTTGCTTGACCTGAATGACACTAGAAATAATTGAAGAGGCTTCCTCCTTTGGGAGAAAAATAGCAGTGCACTCTTTTGGCAGGGGTGATAGGGAGAAATTTGCATGCAGACAAACTTCAATCAAGGATATAAACTGATAGTAAATCTGACTCACTTCTGATGATGTTACTTAGTTTGGTAATGAAATGTCTCCAAGAAAGCAAACAAGATCAGAGAGCATCAAGGACACCACAGTTGTCGTTGTCATCGTCCTCCTCCTCCTCTCAGCAAATTCCACTCCCTTCTAGCACTGATGATGTTACCTAGTTGGGTAATGAAACATCTGCAAGAAAACACCAAGTTCAGACAGCTCTAAGGACCCCACAGTCCTCCTCCTCCTCCTCCTCCTCTCTTCAAACCCTACTCCCTTCTAGCACTGAAGTTATTACATGGTTGGGTAATGAAATGTCTACAAGACAACAAACAAGCTCAGAGAGCACCAAGGACCCCACAGTCATCGTCCTCCTCCTCCTCCTCCTCCTCTCTTCAAACACTACTTCCTTCTAGCATGAAGTTATTACATAGTTGGGTAATGAAATGTCTGCAAGACAACCAAGAATCTACTACTTCTACTTCCAACTTTTTGGAAGTAGATGTTACCTAGTTGGATAATGAAACATCTCCAAGAAAACAACCCAGCTCAGAGAGCACCAGGGACTCTGTCGGGCTCACCTTCTTGTTGGCAGTTCTTTAAAAATAATGGTTTACTTTAGCCTTGATCAATGTTTTTTTCCGCTTTCTATCTACTCTTTACTGATCATGTGTGGCGAGGTTTTTACTCCTTTTTTATTTTAAATGATTTTACAGTATAATTTGTCTGGAGAACTGGATTTACTGAACAGATTAGCAATGCAGTAAAGAAAATTAATTCTGGGCGACAAGGCAAAAGTTATCTTCCTAAATATTGTTTAGAGATCATCTCAGTACAACTGGTCCTGGGGAAAAAAAAAAGGGGGGGGGGTTTCACTGGAAGGCAATCTCACCATCTCCTGATCCAAAGGGTTTTGTCTTTTTCTCCAGAACTGAGCTGGTCTGGAAAACGCCGAGCTTTTTCACTATTTCAAAACTTGGTGTACGGCTAAAACTGCCATTTGTAAAGCAGCCCGGAGATTGGCATGCCTCTAAGAATTAATTCAGAATTGATGGCATTTTCCAGGGATTTATTTTTCGACTGCCCATCTGCATTTAAGCTTCGTGCAATATCATACCGTGTGCTTTGCCTCAGCTACCGGAGCACGGGAAACCATTAATCCCTCTCGTGGCATTTTTCAGCATTAAACCTCTGTGCATATTATGATTACAGCATGTCAGCTGGAAAGCTTCCACCCATCCTTTCTCACCCCGGGCCAGGCGCAGCCAACAGTCTGAATGATTGGGAAATTGCACCAGGAAGGAAGCCCTCCTGGTCTTCTCAACAGGTTTATGCAAATCAGACGAATTAATAATCCCAAAGAGTTGACCTTAGTCGTAAAATAAATCCACTTGACGGATAACTAGGGGAAGCGGGAGGGCAAGGGAAGAAAGAAGCCGGAGCAGGAATGGAGAACGCTTGCAAAAAGAAATAAATAAAAGGGAAGGTCTTTCTGTGCTGTCCGTTCCTCAGTTCTCTGAGTCATTAACCAAGCCATTTTGCAATGTATTTAAACCTCCTTGAACTCAGCTGCAATCAGCAGTGAGGGAGAAAAGGCAATTTAGCAGAAAGCTATGAAGTCAGCAGAAAGAGGGGGCGGGGGAAGAATGGCGTAAAGAGAAGAATGTGTCTCTCTTTCTCTATGTTCACAGTTATGTGGCTTTTTCCATCCCATTTGACTGCTCTTCTTAAGGAACAGCTCTGGAAAAAAGGGGGCTTCTTCTTACAGACTTTCCTACTTGTGCAGAACACGGGTCTGACACCACCCAGATTCATACTTTCCAACAGAAGAGAATATTTGTAGCCCAGGGTTGAATGGCAAGGTCCTTGGTGCTCTTTGAGCTTGGTTGTCTTCTTGCAGATGTTTCATTATCCAAACTAGATAACATTATCAGTGCTAGAAGGGAATGGGAACTGTGGGGAGGAGGAGGAGGAGGAGGAGGATGAGAAGGAGAAGGAGGAGGAGGAGGAGGAGGAGGAGGAGGAGGAGGAGGAGGAGGAAGAAGAGGAGGAGGAGGAGGAGACGACGACGGCAGTGGGATCCTTGGTGCTCTCTGAACTTGCTTGCTTTCTTGCAGACGTTTCATTACCCAACTAAGTAACATCATCAGAAGCGAGTGAGGTTTGCTATCAATTTATATCCTTGGTTGAAGTTGGCCTACCACCGGTGCTAGAAAAACACCACATCAGTTTCAGATTCTCTCAGAGAAACTTGATTTTTGAGATGTTCTTCAATTAGACCTCAGAAATGGGCTTTGACTCTCTGCAAGATAGTCTTCGCGAAAGAGGGACAATTGAGTATGTAGTATCCTGAGTGAGTTCAGAGCATCAGCCATGATTCCTTTTTTGAAAAGGTCATTTGGGCTGAGACATGGAAGGAATGCACGGGGACGGGGGGGGGGCTTGGATTTTATCCGATCGTGCCAGGAGTATTAACTCTAAGTCCAACGGCAGCAAAGTTTTACAACTACCGCAGCCTTCCCGCTCACCGAGTTGGCGCCCGTTTCGTGCAGGTCCACCTAATTGCTGATGATGACAAACGGATGTGGGTTATATTTGCCAGGTTGGACTGTTGCTTTAAATATTGATAACCAAAGCCTATCACGGGCTTAGAAGAATTGCCCGCTTCTGTTGCTCGACTAGTGAGAGTCCTTCAACAATAATCCGCTCTTCAATAATTCATGAAAATATATTCCCCTCCCAAATCAAATTGGAAGCTATTTTGTGTGATGTATTATTTAAAATTCAATATCGGAGTGTGCTCATGGCTTGCTCTTCCTGCATCGGAGGACCATTTCAAGATGTGATTATGTGCAGAGGCTATTTAAAAGTGACAATATTTATTTATTTAGCTTTTCATTCTGTTTAAGAGCGAGAGCACAGGCGCTGGAGTGGAACTCGATCGCCGGACAACATATCCGTAAATAGAGTTTGACACAACAAACTTTTCTAAGATCGTCATATCACCCCTAAATCTACAACTTTGTGCAAAATTCAATAAGTTCATCCCTAGGAGCACATGTGCGTGTGTCTATATTCCCACATATAAATAAATCTTATTTCTGAAAGCTGACTTTAGAAAGCAGACTCTTAAAGACAGAATAACAGAGTTGGAAGGGATCTTAGAGGTCTTCTAGTCCAACTCCCTGCTCAAGCAGGAGACCTCTATACCATTTGAGACCGTCTTCTCTTAAAAACTTCCAGTGTTAGACCACCCACAATTTCTGAAGGCAAGCAGTTCTACTGATTAACTGTTCTAACTGTCAGGAAATTTCTCTGTAGTTCCAGGTTGCTTCTCTCCTTGATTAGTTTCCATTCATTGCTTCTTGTCCTGCCTTCGGGCGCTTTGAAGAATAGCTTGACTCCCTCTTCTTTGGGGCAGCCCCTGAGTTATTGGAAGACTGCTATCCTGTCCCCCCTCGTCCTTCTCTTCGTTAAACTAGACACACCCAATTCCAGCAACCGTTCCTTATATGTTTTAGCCTCCAGTTCCCTGATCATCTTTGTTGCTCTTCTCTGCACTCTTTCCAGAGTCTCAAAACTGGATGCAGGATTCCAAGTGTGGCCTTACCAAGGCATTGTAAAGCAGTACTAATATCCAAGCCTGGTGATTCAAGAGACTTTTGGATCACCAGGTTCTAGGCAATATAGAAACTTCTCAGGAAGAACTATTACTATATTTCCTTGATTCACTGTGTAACAGACACATGTCAGGCCCTAGTTGTAGGTGAGCTAAATCTTCTACCTCTTGGAACAAGGAACATTTTCCTTGTCCACCGCAACAGCTGGTATCATTCAATGACATTGAGGGACACACAGGATGAACTTTGTAATACTTTTTTCTTTTTTGGTAGGACTGTTGCACCGGCTAACTCTTATTGCTAGAGAATCCTTTGATACTTATTGAGATCATTGTTAAAACTGGTCTTGACAAAACCTTTTTGTTGAGTTCATTCCTGGATTTTCCCAGGTTTGACCTAGTGTGAGAAGGATTAGCCGGCAAACAAGGTTGCCGTTGCCCAGGGTACGCCCGATTGTGGTTTGAAATATTGCTCCACAATCTTCGAGGAGGCTCCTTCTGTGTACCCCAATAAAGAAGAAGGAGGAAGAGAGGAAGAAGTAGGAGGAGCAGTAGGGAGGAGGAGGAGGAGGAGGAGGAGGAGGAGAAGAAGAAGAAGAAAAAGAAAAAGAAGAAGAAGAAGAAGAAGAAGAAGAAAAAGAAGAAGAAGAAGAAGAAGAAGAAGAAGAAGAAGAAGAAGAAGAAGAAGAAGAAGAAGAAGAAGAAGAAGAAGAAGAAAAAGAAGAAGAGGAGGAGGAGGAGGAGGAGGAGGAGGAGGAGGAGGAGGAAGGCCTCTCTTTTAGAAACCAGGACTGGCAGGAGAGGATTCAATGCATTGGAGATTATAATTTCATTTTTAGCTGTTCTCAAGCTTCCACGAACAAAATAAATATTTCAGCCCAACCTTGGGAGGTGCTGAGTATGTATCTTACCAATGTTCATTTTGATGTTTTCCCTTTGCAAATGTTTTTTTTTTTTATTTTACTTTTACCCAGAGTGCCATGCTCTTTTCCATGGCTAGGCTCACAAATTATTGGATGCTTCAGTCCTGGTGATGTAACCGGACGGATGACCATTCGTAAACCAATCAACTTTGGCTTTGAAGTTCTTAGTTGTGCTAACTATAAAAGTGAAGCCCTTTGTCCTGCCCCCCCCCCTTTTCGCAGAGAGACTTTCATCAGAATACTTCAATGCATTGCTTTTTAAATGATCTTCCAACTCAGTTGCTTAACGGAACAGGTAAGCTGAGGCAGAATTTGGCCATCAACATTAACCCATCACGTCCCATTGTGGAAAAAAAAAATCAAATCACATTTTGTAGTCCGTTCAGCACCTCCATCGCTGAAATCCAGTTAAAAGGATTTCAAGAAGGCAGGGGAAATTTCTCCAGGGGGTTTTGTACATTTTTTTTGTTTTGAACTCAGGTTTTTATTTTTTTAAAAAAACTTAGATTTTCAGCTTGGAAAACAGAAGGAATCCTTATGGGGGAGCCAGCAAGAGAGTTACGGTAAAAGTAAGCAACCGATTCGATTTTCTTTCCATCAGAAAATTGGTCTCCATACATTGCGGATTCTTGCGGCGTGCCTGTGCATAAACCTTGAGAAAAATCAACTTGCACCAAACAAGGAGGCCCGTATATAATATTTAATAGGCTGTGGATTCAGTTAATACCTAAAGGCCTTATTATCTGTTTCTGGTTGGCTGGAGGCATTCTAATTTGATGCTTTGGCTAAAGTCGGAAAAAGGAATTGGACAAAAGAGAGATGCTTAAAAAGGGAAGAAGGGGAGATGGCTCTTGTTAAGAGGCAGAGTTGGAAACAATGCCGAACGGCATAGAGAGAGATAATCTTGGGTGGAGAGTCAAGAAAGTATATCAATTCTGCAGGCAGACATGGATCAGGAGCAGCCTGCATTCACATACTCCTTTGCCAGCAAATTATTCTTTGAAAATGTCTTGGGGAAAAAAATATCACAGGTTCTGGTGTACCGCTGGTTTAATTTTACAGAATACAGAATAAGGAGCTAATTTAAGGAATGGCCTGGGAGAATCCAGTTTTGCAATAAAGCTACTCTGGAATTTTAGACTTGGCTTGCCAGGCAGTTTCATTGACTGACTGATCAAGGGAATTATTTTGGTTTAGGTGGTCCAGCTAACAGATTAGCAGAGTTGGAAGGGACCTTGGAGGTCTTCTAGTCCAACCCCCTGCTCAAACAGGAGACCCTAGATCATTTAAATCAGTCAATCAATGAATCAATCAATGAATCAATTAATCACAATAGAGCTGGAAGGGACTTTGGAGGTTTCATTGACTGATTGATCAAGGGAATTATTTTGGTTTATGTGGTCCAGCTAACAGATTAACAGAGTTGGAAGGGACCTTGGAGGTCTTCTAGTCCAACCCCCTGCTAGCGCAGGGGACCTTATGCCATCCTTATCCTATAGCGTTATGTTCTTTTTTTTTCTTTTACATTGTTTATCTCATTGTTCTATTACCTGACTTCTGTTCTGATTACACTCTTTCCCTTTTCCTTTTTCAAAAGGTGACCGGACTTTGTTTTTCCTGGAACAACATTTCGCTTCTCATCCCCAGGAGCATCTTCGCTTCTGACTTCAGTTATGCTTCGGTCAGAAAATTCGGACGCTTGGCAACGGTCTCCTATTTACGACAGTTGAAGTGTCCCCCTTCTAAAACTGGAGGCTTTTAAGAAGAGACTGGACCTTCACTTGTCTGAGATGGTATATCGGTTCTCCTCCTTGAGTGGGGGGCTGGACTAGAAGACCTCCAAGGTCCCCTTCCAGCTCTCTTCTATTCTAACCTTCTGACAAGCAAAATCAGTGGGAAAACCAGAGTGACTTAACAATCATGATATTGAATGGATAACTATACTTAAGAACAGTGACAAGAAAGGATGTAAAATGGTGCAAAATTCACTTAGCAACTGTCCCACTGAGGAACAGACATTCTGGGCTCAATGGCCGTCATACGTTGAGGACTATCTGACCTGGAGCATTTTAGAAGTTTCTCTTTTTTCTCTTTCTCCCTCCGTGCGCTCAGATCTGCAGAGCGAAAAGGTGATTTTTCTTAAAAAAGCGCCAGCCAGCCGAAGAAGCAACACAATCAAGCTCAATTATATTAGCGGGTACTCTGCAATTATATTGCTCTGCAGTTGATCGGGGCACTTTGGAAAGCATTAACTAATTAATGGAATTTACTGGAAGCAATTGCGCTTTTGTTTCAGGATGAAATAAATAAATAAACAGGCCGAGCCCGCTGAGGGGTGGCTGAGGTGAGTTGTCGGGTGGGAGATGGGAAAATCTGGGAAGTGGGTTGGACTGGCACATCCCATGAATGAGAGAGAGAGATCCCTGTTTGCAGAAATTGGATTGGAGTGCTGGCAATTATCTCGGACTCTCATTCGTTCAGATATATATGAATGAGTGTTAAGAGCCAGGATGGCTTAAGGTGCTGATTTTAAGGGTGGAGTGATACAGATTAGGAACAAAATACAATATATGTATATATACAAGGTCCCTTCCAACTATTCTATTCTATTCTATTCTATTCTATTCTATTCTATTCTATTCTATTCTATTCTATTCTATTCTATTCTATTCTATTCTATTCTATTCTATTCCACTTCCACTTCCATATTCTATTCTATTCTATTCTATTCTATTCTATTCTATTCTATTCTATTCTATTCTATTCTATTCCACTTCCACTTCCACTTCCATATTCTATTCTATTCTATTCTATTCTATTCTATTCTATTCTATTCTATTCTATTCTATTCCATTCCATTCCACTTCCACTTCCACATTCTATTCTATTCTATTCTATTCTATTCTATTCTATTCTATTCCATTCCATTCCATTCTATTCCATTCCATTCCATTCCATTCCATTCCACCTCACCCCACCCACCCCTTCCCATCCCATCCCTTTTATTATGGATTCCTTGGCATGGAATAATCCAGATTAGTTCACTAGTTTCTCCACGTCCTAATCCTAAGGGATGGGGAAAAAAAGGCCCATTTGAAAGTTGCTGTCTACCCTGAGTGTGTCTCTAAGGGATAAGTTCAACTGTTCCTATGGTCACAATCCTTGCCAAGCATTTTTCAGGGTGAGCCAGAGTGATATATCACTGGAACAATCTTTCTTTTCTCTCTCTCTCTCTCTCTTTGCCTTGAGACCCACTCGGTGTTGTGAACAGTATCACGTAACGAGTAATTGAATTCCTCACTCCTGTAAATATTTTTGGCAACCTGGGACCTTTCGAAAGGTCAAAGATTTTCAGAAAACCATCTCCTAGCCTGGAAGCTCCTTTTTTATTTTTATTTTTTTTCCCCCAAAATGAAATACCTGAAGCGGCGGTCTCAAGGCAGAGGAAGATATTCTTGCTGTGCATCCGGGAAAGACATACAATCTACAGCGATACAGATGGCTCTATTGACTGTATGGAACGAAGCCGAGCCAATATTCTCGAGCTTTCCCCAAAGGAAACGTTTTTGACTACTATGTGCGTCATCAAGGATTATAGTCTTCAAACGGCAGACGCATTTGTAACTATCTCTGAACGGGAGCCCAGAGCCTTCCTGGTGTCTTTTGGCTTCATTCTCTTCTTCTTCTTTATCTCTGTTAAAATCCAAAACAAGAATTCTTTTTTTGTTTGTTTGTTTTGGGGTCAACCCTGCAAAGGAGACCAAACTTGGAAAGTGGTACAGATTAAACTTTGACTTAGAGCGTCTATGGAGGTCCTCCGTCCTCCAGGGTCAGGGTTGTCCCAAAGGTGCTTTTTCAAGAGGCAACTGGATCTTCTTGTTTTTCTTTGAAGAGGTTTCTCTTCTCACCCAAGAAGCTTCTTCAGCTCTGACTGAAGGGTGGAGAATGGGAGCATTTATGCGAACTGAAGAAGCTTCTTGGATGAAAAGCGAAAGGTCTTCAAAGACAACGAGGAAGTCCAGTTGCCTCTCGAAAAAGCACCTTTTGACTTAGAACAGAAAACCTCAAAGTTGGAAGGGACCTTGGAGGTCTTCTAGTCCAACCCCCTGCTCAAGCAGGAGACCCTGTCCTATTCCAGACACATGGTTGTCCAATCTCTTGTTAAAAGAGATTCAACCTAGAAATAAGGAGAAATTTTCTGATCGTGAGAACAATCAACCAGTGGAATAGCTTGCCTTCAGATGTTGTGGAAGCTTCATCACTCGAAGCTTTCAAGAAGACACTGGACTGAGCAAGGGGTTGGACTAGATGACCTACAAGGTCCTTCCAACTCTGTTATTCTATTCTGTTCTGTTCTGTTCTACTCTACTCTAATATAAGAATACACTAGAGTGAATGGGATGTCCACCTGTTACTACACTTAAAGCAAGTTTACGCTCAATTCTTCCTTCATTGTGAGGCTTACTCCTCCATGGTGTTCTCTGGCCTACTTCTCCAACTCTCCTAACCAGAACAGGAAGTGAGTGTGACTCACACCCCATGTCTTGACCTCTTTTTGTAGGTGTGCAAACTGTTGTTGACAGGCTCTTTTCTCCTGGAGATGGACAATTGGTGAAGAGCTCTCAAAGCTGCTGAAATGCACCCCTCATTGTTTTGAGGGCTTTGTCCCTATCAGATCAGCTCACCGTGTACCCAGAGATAATTGGGCCAACTTATTTAAAAGTTATGACCTAATTAGTGGCCTTAATGGTCATTAATTATAGAAAGAGCAACAAAGCTGTTACAATTTCTAAGCGGCCAGCTTTGTGGGTGAGGCACAGGTATTTATCCGGGCCTGTAAAGGAGAGAGGCTAGTAAGCTTAAATCTAATTAAGCCAAATTGTCCCTCGTAATTATAAGCAATGTGATTTTATTTATCTGGTTTAATTAGCAGGGACTTTACCCTGTCTTTGACAGGGGATAATGGTGATGAGGACAGAGGAAGAGATTAAAACACCATCCATCAACATGTGGTGTGTGTGTGTGTGTGTGTTTGTGTGTGTGTGGAATTAAAGATTTGAGGACCAAAAGATGACAGAATCAGGAAAGGTGAACAAAAAGGAGAATATCATTTGGGGAACATTATGATGGATGGAAGAGTAAGTATTGCAGGGGAAGAGCAGAGCTGTCTAAAATTAGAATTAGAATAACGGGGTCGGAAGGGACCTTGTAGGTCATCTAGTCCAATCCCCTACCACCACCTAAGCAGGAGACCCTACGCCATTTTTGACAGATGGCAGCCCAGTCTCTTCTTGAAAGCTTCCAGGGATGAAACCATCACAACATTTAATGTCATGAAACAGGGAAGAGGAAGAAACGGGCATAAAGAAGTGCCATTTAGGAGCTATCAAAGAGACATACCCCTTTAGTCTTAATATAAGTAGTCCACAATCACAACAGTTCATTTACTGACTGTTCAAGGTTACAACTGCACGGAAAAGTGACTGTCCTCCTTAGTTCCAGGTTGCTTCTCTCCTTGATTAGCTTCCATCCACTGCTTCATGTCCTTCCTTCTGGAGTTTTGGAAAATACGTTGACTCCCTCATCTTTGTAGAAGCCCCTCAAATATTGGAACAGTGCTATCATGTCACCCCTAGTCCTTCTTTGTAACAGTTTAAAGGTTGATGGAAAATTGCCAGTTTAACCAACATGTGGAAAATAATTCCTGCCATTCAAGGTTTGAAGTCCCAGACCTAAGTCCCAGGTGTGTTGTCAATTCTACACGGGTCTTTGCCTGGACTTTGGACAATGGTAGACTCAACGCATATAAACATGTCTTGCTCAGGAAAAGTTTTATTGTGGAGAGTCTTTTGTAGACGCCTTATTTACACTTCTGAAGTCACCATCCTACAAGGCTCACGAGATCGGTTGGTGAACCACCATCTGGAGGTCTATTAGATGGCGAATGTTGGCCTGGCGACTGTTTCTTCTCTTTTCCCTCTTCATGGCTACTGGGCTGACAGTAACTCTGAGCTGCCTTTTGTTCAGAGAGAGGTGAGTTGACCCCACCGTCTGGAGAATGATGGACCGGCCTTCGTATGGGGATGAATAACTGCTCTCCATCACCACCCCTCCCCAATTCCTTGAAAGGAGAAGATTGGTCCCAAATAGAGCCAGGGCTGTTTTCATGGTCCAGTACCACTGAGCAATTAACCATGAGCAAGTGAATTCTCCCAAACCTTTACTAAAAAACCATGGCAGTTTATCAATGTGTCAGGCTGTTGGCAGATTCAAGAAATCTGAATTTAACAGGTGACTGGCTTGGCCACGCCTGACTGAGGCCAACAGATCATCCTGGATATTGAGTCCCAACTGGATGGTTGGTCTCAACAGAACAAGCTGTTGTGAAGGAAAGGGATGAATGGGGTTAACTTGGGAAGTTCGCCGAGTAGCTTCATGCACAGGTGCACACACATACACACACACTCATCTTTACCTGCACCATAAATGCTGGCTGAATTTTGCAGCAGATTTCAGCCGTCACATTTCTGATGACTGATTCTAGTCCTGTTTTTTTTGGGGGGGGACCATGCACAAAAGACTAAAAAATAATTAATGATAAGATCTGGTTTCGTTGTGCTTAAGATTGACCTCCTAAATCCCTGGGGTACTATTTCTCAAGCATATTATTATTATTATTATTATTATTATTATTATTATTATTATTATTATCATTATTATTATTATGGATCATCGCACAGTCAGCCAGATGTTCAGACTGGATTTGGCATTTTGTCTACCTATCGAGTCTTTACCCAGGACCTGGGATAGGCAGATGTGGATGTTTGATGGTATTACAGATATCATTGCAAGATGGAAGTAGTTCCTAGTGAGGCCGCCTTTTGGAATTGACTAATGGCGAATTTGTCAATGCCAATGGTGTTCAAGTGGTGCTCCAGTTGTTTTGGGGTTGCACCCAAGGCACCTATTGGTACTACCCTTGCTTGCTTTTGCCACAGTCTTTCTATTTCTATTTGTAGGTTTTTGTATTTTGTTATCTTCTCCAGTTCTTTCTCGTTTATTATTATTATTATTATGGATCATCGCACAGTCAGCCAGATGTTCAGACTGGATTTGGCATTTTGTCTACCTATCTTACCCAGGACCTAGGATAGGCAGATGTGGACGTTTGATGGCATTACAGATATCGTCGCAGGATGGAAGCAGTTCCTAGTAAGGCCGCCTTTTGCAATTGACTAATAGTGAATTTGTCGATTTGCTATTATTACTATTATTACTATTATTATTATTATTATTATTATTATTATTATTATTATTATTATTATTATTATTATTATTATTCAAACCCCTTTCCAAATTCACTCTGTTTTCCAACAACAGCAAACTGGAAAAAAAATGGGGGGGGGGACAATTGCCTAGATGAAAATTGTCCCCAAACTGAATTATTTTCTTACCAAAGAGGATTTTCTCTTTAGGCTTCATTCTCAAGGGGTTTTGGAATTTGGATGCAGCTTTTTGCGAGTTTATTTTATGGCTGAAGTCTGATGGAAGGGATATTTATTGATTAACCTCCCGGGCTGCCTGCATTTCCTCATCTGAACAATTTTTTAAAAAAGTTTTGAGTACATTATTGTTGCAAGGAGGCTAAGAATAATAAGAGCTGGAAGGGAC